TAATTTAATTCATTAATTCTATTACTCTTAAAAAATAATATTTAATATATTTTAAATTCAAATTTCGATATTTATAATCTTTTTCTATTTCAATGCTTTAATCTATTTTATCCAAAAATACGTTAGATAGACAATTGCAAGATATCTTTGCTAATTACTTAATCACTCATCTTATACAAATAGAATACAATATTAGCATAAATAATACTTTAACAAGTATCTTTAAAATATTCAGTAATAGGATCTGATATTTAATTTAATTACTTCATAAAATTATTTTTAAAAAAATAATATTTAATAAATTTAAAATTTAACATTTAACATTTATAATTTATTTTAAATTATAAATTTTTTTGTAAAAAAAATTTAATACAAATCTTAAAATAAAAAGGAATGAAGATATTTTTGGATAATTTTGAACATAATAACGAGGATAGTCATTTCGAGCAGCCGAATAGGAAATATTTTGGAGAACAAATTGCATCCATTGAAGAGATTTATTTGCCAAGTTTAACATAATTTTGGAAGTTAGGCAAGCAACATTCTTAACATGTTAATGCATTCTCACATAGCAAAGATCCTCTCCATAAAAATAAAATGGGGTATAGCCCATGAATTAATTTCTTAAAACACTGTTAACAAAACCCTTAAACCTCTATTAATAATGATTGTCATTTAGAAGGGGCATCAACCAGCTGTCTTCTATCCCCTATCAAATATCTAAAGAAATAGTAATATATTATCTATGGCATATATTTTATAGGAATTATTGGGCATTTGGAGGGAATAAAGTATTAAAATTACAATTTAATTTTTTTTTCACACAATCGATCTCAAACTTATAATATATAAAATTTAATTTATTTGTTGATGTTGATGAGAATAAAATATAATTTTTACAGATATCAAGAAGATGAAAATTTAAATATAAAGTAGATCTAGTAATTTCAGACACAATAAAATAATACGATATAAAAAATGATACAAAAAATCATATATATGTTTTAAAAAAATGTGTTTTGTGTTTATTTATGTCAATATAAATTTTAACATAACACAATTCGTATCGTATATATATTGATTTGTTTAAATATGTGACACAACACGAATAACACGTTAGTTTAATTTTATCATATGGATACATGTTTAATATATTTAATATATTTTTTTAGTTTAATATAAACATATAAAAATTATTTAATTTTTAATTTTTAAATTATGATACTTAATTAACTATTTAATTTCGTATAAAAAATGTTTTAAACATTTAATTATAATACTCATTTAATAATTATTATAAAATTATTTTTTTATATTAATAATATAAATATAATATAATAATTATTATTAGTCCTATACATTATTATTTTATTTTTTAATCTTTAATAGTTTATCATTTTGAATTTGATACTTAAAAATTAATATAATTATGTAATATAAATTAAAATTAAAAAATATATATTAAATACTTATTAAATGTGTATTAAATTTTTTTATTTTTTAATATGTAATTATTTTTTTATATTATTAATGTGTCAAATTTATTAAGTTATAAATAATAAATAGTTTATAATTATTTATTATTTTAATCATATTTATATATATATATTTATGTTAATCGTATCTATTCATATATATATTATTCATATTTATTTATATCATATTTAAATGTATTAATTAATATATATTATGTAACATATATATTAAATATATTATATTTATATTTAAAATTTAAATATATTTTATAATTTATATCATATTTATATTTTAATAATTTATATTATTACATAAATTAAATACGACGCGAGACATGATATGCAAAACACAAATGATCATATCCAAGAGCCGCCAAAGGGGACCCCAATCAAAGACGATAGGTATGTGAACATATATATATATATATATATTGTTTAGATAAATGATATACTAACACAAAGTTTGGAAAAAATATGGGTCCCCAAGTCTTAATGTTGGGAATAATATAGAGGTTCACGTTGAGAAGAGGAGTTGTTTGTATTTAGAGCAAATCTGACGGTGACTGTGCACTTTTTTCTTAGATATTTTTATAAGAGTTAAAATTTCATCTTTTAATGACCACTGTCTTTGATCGCACACTCGTCACTGAGGGGGAGGAATTACCACTTTTTTTTAAAAAAAAAACACCAAATCTTCTACTCCTGAAATTTTATGTAAAATACAAAGCATGTGGTCAGCAGGTAGATATCATACATAGAAAGTGCTCGCTGCGACATAACACCATGAATGGTTTCGAGCAAAGCTTTGTGAGTGTAACCATAAACAGCACAGTAGAGTCCTCTCAATGTGAACAGGGTCCCATGTAAACGTCAGTAAGAACAAAAGCTGAAATGAAGTGTGAATGAATTTGCAACCAACAATATATTTCTAGGAATCTAGGCAGGCGACAAACATGTTTATTTAACTAATACTACAACTCTTACTCTCGGAGAATTTTAAGAATGTAGGAATTGAACCATATTTACACTGTGAGAACAAGCAACAAAAATAGCTTATCAAATTCTCACCAATTTAAGCCTGAAATGCTGAACAGAAGCTACTGAGACAACAAAATTCTTTAGAACCCCTTTTGCAATGTGATATTGGCTGCAGAATGCAGACCTTCAGTTGTCAGGACACCAATGGACGAACCCAAATTTATGTGCAGTTTGAATATAAGCAAAAATCAATTTTTAGGAACATAAATCTACTTAAATTTGTTAAATGAAAGCTTTTGCGTCTTAGTATGATAAACACATCATGTAGTTTCGTTGTTGATTTTTGAAAGCTGAAACTGACACCTTAAAGCGACACTAAGTGAATCAATAAAAAACAGGATGAGATGCTCTATGAGACTATGACTTAAAGGGCGAGGTAGAAATTGAGATTTCATGAAAGGAAGAGAACCAAAGAAAGGAGACTCCAAGAAAAACCAATCTGGGATTTCCTTGAGCCATGCTATTTTAAGTCAAATTTTATTATAGGCAGGCTAGTTGCACCCTAGACTTTGGACCCTCGGAGTCTAAAACAAGGAGGGTGACAAAAATAATACAACCAAATGTTCAAATGACTGATCAAGATTACCATAGTCATGCAAGACGAGAAAGTATGTGTGACAATAGTCAACCTGAAAGACTGCTAGTAGCAGTAAGTAACAATGAATGCAGCATGGAAAATACAACAGGATGATGCTCTACTAAAAAACAGCATATCAGGACACAAACTTCAGTGCCAATTACAGAAATGGTGGAAGACAAAGTTAACCTGAACTGTCAATTTCGACACACACAAAACCTCCAAGCTCCAAATGTGTAAGGACCACAGTAATTTTATCTCATGGATATGGTCATTGATTTCTTTAAGTGACATGTTAGGAAATGTGTTTTACGCTATTTCCTTAACGTTTCTGTTTCAAATTCTTAATCTTACAATATTTATTTGATAAAAGTTCCATTAAGTAATTTAGGGAAAAATTCATCAAATTTGTCAACTTTGCATTTGTGCTAGAGTCCATGAATTTTCAGAAAAAAGAAAATGTCTTTGGTATTAGAATGTTCACAATAAATCTTCACTGCTAGGAAACCAAAAATAGGAAGAATATTAAAAAACCATAGCATTGCACACAAAATCAACTATCACATTCCACTAGAAAGAAAAGAACTTGTCTTGAACCTAATTAAATTAGGATAGATACAGACGACAAAAGAAAGATCCCATAACCATTGGGGAGGGAGCAACAAATGAGAAGTCATTGTGCTAAATGTGAAGTTTGTAAGAAATGTGGTCTTTTAACAGCTTTGACTCATGGTTTCCCTGCTTCTTTAAAACATGGTAACTGGAGAAAGAGTTAACAGGGCAGCTTAGAGAAGTTACTTAGGCCATTTGGTGCCATAAGTTGATAAGAACCAACTCGGAAGTTGGAATTTGTCGCTTAAGATATTCTAGTTTGCCTCAAGGTTAGAAACTGCAGTTGGAAGAAGGCAAAAGCATGGCCATTTGGCTCTCACTGACATCAAAGATGAAGAGTAGTTAGAGCTTGAGAAATTAAATTATGACAGTTTGGACAGTGAAGACTGCCTGAAATCGTATCATTGTGAGAGGGCCAGTCAACTTTGCAAAGTATAAATCCTTCCATAAACATAAAATGATTTCTGAAATAGCATGAAGTACGATGGCTTAAAGAAATCTGAATTTGCCAAGAAAATTTTGCAGAAGTTTTGAGACAAGGCTCAATTATATAAACTTGCTCAACATCAAACAGAGAAAAGATAAACGGTTAATAACAAATCCAATGTTATGTACATACTAAGTGAAGTTTCCTTATATGTCAAGCAGTGAAGGGATGCAAATTCTATAAATACAAATTAATCCATAGTGAAGAAAATTTAGGAATACTAAAGAGAGAAAATATATGGGGTTCAACAAAAGGATTATGAAGGAAATAAGCTGAAAGAGTTTTCCAAACAAGGTAAGATCAGCGCAAAGGAACAACTTTGAATTGATGACAAGAGAACTAGGTTCTTATATGTTAGCAGACATGCTACAGCAAGAAGCATGCATGCCACTAGCAGCCAGAGGTAATCAGTAATTGGCCCTTTATGTGCAACAATATATTCTTTTAGAGAAAAAAGAATTCTTAATTGATCTAAGAAGAAACTGGACATATATGACTGTAAATTTCTATATTTAATTTCACAAACAAACCACTGCCACTCCAACCAGACCTAGAGAAGAAGAAAAAAATTAAATTTGCCTTACATCATAATCAACACACCTCTGAATCAAACAAGAAGTCAAGCCCAAAACCAAGCTACTAAGCTGTGCAAAGCTCCACCTGCACATTCCACAGCAAAAGCAATAAAGCACAAGACAGATTAATACTTCTCTGAAGACTTTGGAGGATGCAAGTTCAACAGAAGGCAAGAATCAAGACAAGCACCTCTGTAATGGAAACTTGGGTGATGCAGTGCAGAAAGAAGGGGACAAAACAAAATCCATCCAGTCCCTATAGAATTCTGAGAGGCAAAGTATTCGTTTTTCTCACTCTTTTTCTTTCCCAATTATACAATACTGAAACCATTACAAGGAAAAAGCATCCTCTCTCAGGAATGCTACTTTTTTTAATCTTGCTCCCAAAGTTTATAACTTTACTGGCCTGATCCTTGGGAATCATCCTTGGCAGGGGGTTGTTGCTGGTGTTGGTGTTGGTGCTGGTGCTGATGCTGATGCTGGCTGGTGCTGCTGCACCCTAGCCTGCCCCATCTGCTGATAAATCTGGCTCAAAGCTTGAGGATTTAGAACCCCAATATGACCATCTTGAGACAACCCAAGCTCCAAACCAGGGAGCTGCTGGTTAGCCGCACCCAAGATTGAGGTGAAACTCATCTGACCCATGTTAGTAGCTGGCAAGTCAAAACCAGGAAACCCAAGCTTTTGCAGATAATTAGAACTTTCACTGCCTAAATTTGTTGTAGATGGACCAGATGATGACTGAAAACCATAACCAGGGACTGAGGGCCATAACCCTGTTGCCACATGATGGGGTCTCCCCAAATTGCCACCAACCATTGCCCAACTGGTCCTACTGCTCCCTGACCCTATACTGGACCCCCCTAAATCTTCCATCTTTTGGTGCAACCCTGCTGATGGAGAGGCCCCTTGCTGTGAAACTGAGCCTCCAGTAGCTGCCAAAGCTGATGCTGGTATCGTTCCGCTCCCGGTGGCGGCTATTATTGATGGTTCAGCTTGTTGTAACAGCCACTGTATTGTTTCCCCATCAGATTTGTGACCCAATTCCCTGGTCAACTGAAAGATTCTAGCTGCACATAAAGCAGGCATCCTTATCCTTCTACCTCTTCCTTCAACTTTGGTATGCCTGTCTTTGTTAGAACTTCTCTTTGGGGCCAACTGTTGTTTCTTCCCTTCTTTATTTGCAATAACAATCTGGAAATCCTTGATTTCAGCTGGTTTATTCTCACCCATGTTTTGAGGCTGTTGCTGCTGTTGTTGTGGTTGAGGATGTTGTTGGGGTTGTGGTGGCAGGCTCAGGAAGTTGGGTACTTCCTGTGGAGGCTGCTTGGAGCCCTTGGGATCCATGAACAGTTAAAAGGATGGCGGGGTGGGGGCAAATTAAAGAAAAAAAAAAAAGAAGAGTCCTCTTCGATTGAAGAAGGTGACCTGAAAAGTCCTAGACTTATGAGTTTTCACTGTTTTTTGCGAGGAATGTGAAGACAAACTATTATTATAATATTGGAATCCCAAAGCACACCTGAAATGTCAAAATTTTTACTCTTGGTTTTGCAAAATGTCTTTTTTTTTCTCTCTCTCGTACAGTATATGGTATGTGCTTTAGGATGTCCTTTCTTTCATGCCCTTTTTTTTACTGTTCTGTAGGGGTTTTGACTAACATATCTGATATGATAGCAACTTTAACTGCCAATTTCACCCAAAGACACCAGCTCAAATCACATAAAAACAGATTCCCAGATGGTCATATTCCATGGATTGATGGATTCTTGCCCTTTTCCTTCATTACAACTTACCTTTACATCCTAGTGCTACCTTATCTTATTGCAGCAGCAATACGTTGGTGCCATCTCTTGTAAGGGACTCAATTTTCCACTTGTATGAATGATTGTTTGACACGTGTGGATAATGAGGTTGGTTGCTTATAATCCACTCTACCACCATCCTTCTTAGTTCCGATACATTATTAAAAAATTAAAAATTTTTAAAGAGGAAATTAATCATGGGATCACTACCCTCAAAAGTGGAAGACTGGGGGGAGTTTGTTTTTTAGTTTCAGTTACAGAATCTGCCAAAAGAAACCAAAAAAAAAAAATTTGATGCAGTTACAATTGAAGGAGTTGATGCTGCTTCTATTTGTTCAATTTGGAGATACACCAGTATAGTAGTGGGACCCTCAGTCCTGAAAACACCTAGTGTTCCTCAGTTTGACAGTTCATGGGCCATCTTCAAACAAAATCACTTTATAATATATCACTGTTAGGCTTACTTGGCTTGCTTTTGTAATCTTAACATCAAACATGGAGTGATGCCAGATCATTATAACACTTCCCTAGAAGTTGACACTTGAAGACAACTTGTTCACAAATATGTTGAAGGACAATGATTTACCAACTTGACACGCCCTTTTTCATTTTTACATACTTTCATTGTCAGCATATAGGATTCATAAACTGTGAATAGTCCTCTAAGTTGGGAGTTGCGATTGAGGAAAGGGGAGGAAGAGAGAAAGTAAAACAGAATTATATGAAAATATTCTTTGGTAAAAGTATTTGTAGAAGAATAAAGAAACTATGAGAGAGAAAAAACAGGGTGATGCTTAGCTGCTTTCTATGATTAAGCTAAGGGAAATGATCACAAAGGTACACTTGTCAAAGTAATTATTAAATCTTCTAGATTGAGTGGATGCCAATGACAGCTTGAGAAAAAGACAGGGACTCCCTTGAATTTCTCCTATGACAAAGATGCCTAATTTCTTAAAGAAGGGTAACATTTTTCACTCCTTGCTTTTGAAATCAAGTGATTTTGTTCTATCTGATGTCCAATTTTATTTATATAATAATATAGTGATTGCATACAAAATACTATTTAAGTACATCAAACCCAAACGAAAGGTACAAAAATAACTGCTGATGTTGGTATGAGTTTGATTTGAAGAAAAATTCATTGTTTTTCCACTGGTGCCATATGCGTAATGAATATCCATAAATGTTTGGCCATCCAAATTCCCATTTGTCTAGGAATGTACCATTTCTTGGCTAGTATACCAACCAACACTTAAAACTTTAAGTCAAGGGCTCTATTGGTTTAAGTCCGTGAATTTGAGGTGTAATTATTTTTTCAAGCAGTAATAGCTTTTTAAGTTTCGTCCATACATTTTTTTTCTTTGAGTTAATCTGGATAAATTTATTTACGTTAGATTTAATAAATTTATAAAAAAATTATTTTTTGTAATCTTTTAATAAATTTAAACTCGCTTAACCAAAAATAAAATAAAAATAAAAGATACCTAATGAGATATATCTCAACTATATAATTGAAAGAAAATTTGAACTTTATATCTTAACCTTTGTAAAACTTGATAACAATAGCTAAAACCTAATATGGAGTGTGTATTCTAAGTTGTTAAACAATCATTTTTAATTGTTAATATTACAGTGCATGTATAGAAATGATATATATATATATATATATATATATATATATACTTCATTAATATAATATAATATTTTTTTTATTACATCAGGAGAGTAAAACTCTAATACAAGTAAAAGGAAAGAGAATGCCTGGTTTGAAACCAGTTCCTTGATATTCCTTCAAGTACCTTTAACCATTAAACCAAAAGTTTGGAGATATAATAATATAATGTTTGAAACTTTGAAAATATCCTATTAGAAATATGGCTTTAACTGCTGAAATTATTGCCTTCATAGTTTATTTGCTGTGTGATTGCTTCCCTTTTTATGTTTCTGATATCAGTTAATTTCGTCTACTTCTTGCTCAAAATTTACATTTCTTCAGCTTTTTTCTCACCTGTATTTCTCAAGTTTTTTCAATCATGTAGTCATCATCAATTCATTTCTTGAAATCTCATAACTACATTTGCCTTTCTTGGTCAACAAATCTAACCACTTTTGCTTCTTATCAGCAATATATGTGTCATTCTATGTTAATTAAAACATGAGAAATATTTTTTAAAAAATTTTGGATGGAAAAGTTTTTCCAATATAATTGTATAAAAAAATATTTTAATATAATATTTAAAATATAAATGATCATAGTTGATAAAATTTATATCACGAATAAATTAAGCCCCATATAGCAAGAAAATACTTGCAAAATGGTTTTTAAAAATATACTAAAGTCTTTGACTTTTCATTGCATGAATAATCCATGCAATTCTTTGTCACCATAGTGGAGCTTTCCTTGCATTCACATCTCTTTAGTTATGTCTTTTTCTTTAATCATTCTCCCAAACTTGATTATTAAGCAACTTTGGGGTGGTTTTGGCATGAATCATTGAAGCAATGAGAGCAAACAAATATATATATATATATCTTTATTTTTTCTTCTTCGTCTTCACTTGCTTTTCTCTTTTTAAAAACTAATTATAGCTTTGCTTTGATGTGGAGAACACCAATTCATTAGTGTTGTGATGATAATTATGGTTAGATTGGGTATGTGTATGTTGGTGATTGCATTGCTTGTCACATGTGCTTCCCATCATGAAGACAAGGGAGGCCCCTCTTTGAAAGCTAACAGTTGAAAATATCAAAACCAACCTCACTTGAATTCAAAGATTGAAGTGGGGAAAGATCTTTGCTTTTGTTAAGGGGTTTAATTTTAAGACTTATTTTCCCATTAGAGATAAGCTTGGATCTTTGTTTGTTTTAATCATTTCTCATTCCTACTCCCATCCTTTTCAAAAGTTTTGCTTTTGCCCTATTTGAATGCCAAAGGGAGGTAAGCACACCATCTAGTTAAGAAACACAATAAATTTTTGGTAATTCTCCGTCAATCCCAAGGCCTAATTTGAAAACAAATTATAAACAAATAGTAATTCATTTTCCTTTTTCTCGAGGCTTTGAATTGGGTCCTTTTGAGTAGGCAACAAATCTTGTTTAGAAAATTTAGCAGTTTTCAACTTTAAAACAAACACTTTGGAGCTTCTTTAATAATCAAAATGTCCTCATGCATATATAGCATTATGTTGCTTTGATTACACAAAACTTCTTTATAAAAAATCTCCTTTTCTTCATTCTTCTTTGAGGAGTGACAACTTTTCTTGCTAATTGTTAACCCATTTCTGTTTTTTGAAATATCCCTTGGTGCAGTCAATCCAAACTGTGTACTCTAATCTGCAATAAATGTGTTATTGGGTACAAAATTCACAGGCCTCTGGCTACTTTGTTTCTTCAGTGAATCTTGTATGCTGCCTTTAACTTTTAGCCTTGTGCCCTTTCTTCTCTCATCACCATTCAAGCTGATAGGTCAGTTCAATGATCAGGCATCAACAACAAGCCTTTCATAGATGGCCATGTGCCTGCATATTAAATCTTCAGAATTGAGACCATCTTGGAATAACCTATCAAGACAACAAGAAATTACACAAAGTACAAACATATAATTTTGGTTAAATTGGTGAATCAGTAATTTTAATATCATGATGGAAGAAATAATATGTTATGCAGGCTGAGGCAGTTAACTAATAATAGCTTAGCACCCCATGGTGAAAACAGTCCATTTTTTACAGCAACTTGGTGTTGGGGTCACCAACAAATCTTATTTATTTGGGAACCCAATTTCATTGTTCCCACACCTCCCATGCGATGGGAAGGTACATTTTATGACTGAACCCTACCAAATGAGCCTTAGAATGTAAAGTTTTTGACAGAAATGGGTAAATAATTAAGAAAGGTTGGGAATTGTACTTGAAGTAGATCTAGTCTGTCTCTTTCTGTCCACATTACAATGATATTTCTTGATGAATGGACTCACTATGTATTAAGATCAGGAAGAATGAAAATTGGAGAGAAAGAAAGGTAGTTCCATCACTTTAAATTGGAGCCACACCCACCATTGATGAGCTCCAAAAAAGCCAGAATCTCTCTATCCGAATAGCTCTTTTCGATAAGATGGACCTCACCATTATCCTTCTGTCACATCTAGACGTATGAGCTATATATGAGCTATCCTCTTCTTCTGCTTTTGTTTTGATTCCAGGTTTTGTTTTCTCATTTTTGTTCTTTGCTACTATTATATTCTACTTTTGAAGTAATGTGAAAGGCTATCAATAATCATAAATCGTCACCCACAGTCTCAAATGAATATAATTTTGGTCATGCAAAACTATATGCTCTATATATGATGAGATCAGATGTGACATATATTTAGGGAATATTTCTCACATGATTAATAATATGACTTTGGACAATTGTAAAAATATTTCTTACTATACTCATTAATTCCGTGCCAGCGCCAAATCCGGGTAACACTCTGGTATAAGATAGTGTTGGTCATGTATAAACAGATGAGTAAAACAAACAAATCAAAATGAGTGGTTTACGTTTATCAAATTACCATAATTTGTTAAGACAGATTTTGATAAATATTGGGCCCACATATGATGAAAGAGGTCACAATGTCTACCATGTGTGAAATTTTATTGAAATTTTGTGTGGAAAGAATTTGGTTGGTTTCTCTTTTTCACATGGAAGAATCTAAATATTTTGAACTAGTTGGAAGTACTTAGTCTCAATTATTTGAAAAAACAAAATTGTTGTACTTTTCATCAATTCATGACTCTCTTCTTTGTCATTGCATGCTGAAAACCCTAACCTAACCCTCATATCATTAACCAGAAATCTTAACAACAAAGCCAAATAAATTTGATTATATTCGTAGGATATCATCAGTCAATTTTAGTAAAAGGTAATTCAACCAAACAGAGTGTTGTTCTCATGTTTAATGATGATTCATGATAAAGCAGTAAACACAAGCATCCTCGAATTCTTGCAGAAGCTTTACAAAAGCAGCTTATCCATGTACACACTTCCATTCTTAAGCTTA